TCACAAAGAGTCGGACACGACTGAAGCAGCTTAACACACACATACACACAAAGGCCGAGGCCAGGGTTTCCCTCGTGGCTCAGGAGTAAAGAATCTGCCTGCCAATGCAGGAAACGTAGGAGGCACAGGTTCGATCCCTGGGTTGGGAAGATCCCCTGGAGAAGGAAATGGCAACCCACTCCAGTATTCTTGCCTGAAGAACCCCATGGACAGAGGAACCTGGCAGGCTATATACAGTCCATGGGGTCGCAAAGCATCAGACACAACTTAGCGACTAAACAACAACCACCACAAAGGCCAAGGAAGGGACTGACCAGAAACAAAACTGGAAGGACAAAGGGGCAGGGGGGGAAAGGCAGGAGGAGCCTTGAATGCCACACCCAGGAATCAATCATTTTTCTCCCACGGGCAATGGGCTGTCCCTAAAGCCTTCCCGGCTGGAGCAGCGGAGGTCAGGTCTAGATTTTTCACTAAGTTGCTCTGGCAACCAGAGCATGGTGTGGGATTAATGCCAAAGGCACAAAGTCTGGGGCCTGAACTCAGACACAGGGATTAGGAATGGAAAAAAAATGAAGAGCCAAGAAATATTTAAAAGATGTAATTGGCCAGACTCAGTGTCAGATTCAATATGGGGGTCAAGGGAGATTCCCTTATGTGTCTCCCCAGGGTAGGCTCCAATTTCCAGATAGGAGAGAACCACAGGCATCCTCAAATACATCCTGTGGGCAGAAACAGTATCTGCCAGTGCAGTATCCCTGGGACGGAGCAGCCCTGGCAGCCACCCACTGGCCTCCTGCTGCCCTCTCGCTGGCTGTTGGAACAGACCAGGGCGCCAGGGTGAGTCCTGAGCTGCCCAAAGCAGCAGGTCAAACCCAGCCAAGTAACTAAATAAAGATGTGATTGTAATAATGATTAAATTGAAGCACCCCATTAATTTCATGTGAGAGGTGGGGAAACACGAGATAGCGCTTCCTGAAACTCATTGTTTGCCTGGCCCCAAGACATCCCCACGCGACGTCTGGTTGGGTCTAATTTAAGTATGTAAATTTAATGGTTCAGTAAGTAAAATTGCCTTTATTGTTTGGAATGGTTTGTGCAATAATTTATGGGCTCGGCTGGTTCATTTGATGGATCTCTATGATGGAGTAGGTGACGGCCATGGAGTGGGTATTTATATAAAGAACTCAGGAAGGGTGTGGGGAGGAATTCAAGCTTGCAATCCAGAGCATCGTATTCCCCGCCAGCAGGAACAGACTGGAAGCCACCAAGGAATGAGGAAAGGTATTCCAACCCCGGAGAGGGCAGCTGCAAATAGCCAGGACTGCTGCAGCCTTGCATATCCTGGAGGGTCAGTGAGCAGGAGCCCAGACGAGCTTCAATCCTTCATTTCTTGGTTTTTTAAAATGCACTGAGTGTGGGACTTCCTGGTAGTCCAGTGGTTAAGGCTTCACCTTTCAACAAGGGGGGTGTGGGTTTGATCTCTGGTGGGGGAGTTAAGATCCCACATGGCTTGGGCCAAAAAACCAAAACATGAAAGAGAAGCAATTTTGTAACAAATTCAATAAAGATGTTTAAAATGGCCCAGACTTTTAAAAATCTTATAAATTAAAAACAAAATAAAATGCATTGAGTGTAATGTGCCATGCAGAAATTCGGAGGACGAACTGGGAGCACTCTGCAAAATCATCTAGGTACTTTGGCGTTTCATCAGCCACTCACTTCTCACCCAGCCTGTGTGTGCCACCGAGATTCCAGCAGCGTGGGTTTCCACCGCCACCGCCTCCCCCAACACGCACTCCACCCTTTGCCTGCTGGGGGCAGCAGATGACGGTGGGCAACCCAGGAGCTGACAGTGACGAGTGAAGATGGTAGACTCAGGGACAGGTCCTGACCAAGCCTGAGCAGAGGAGGTCAGCTGGAGGGCCAGGATGGAGGTGCCCAGGGGACCCAGTTTCTCTGTCCCGCTATGGACGGTGCCAACAGAGCGATTAGAAGATCCAAGGTCGAGAGGTAAGGAGCTCAAGGCTCTTCCAAACTCCATGGACTTAGGAGGTGGGAGGACAGAGCAGATGGCCATAGAAATTTCGTCTTCTTTATTTTTTGCCCAAGATAATTGGTCAATACCCATGAGCACCTGCAGCTTGATAGCAAGAAGATGCTACAAGAAGATGGTGCTCTGGGGGACTGCAGCCTCACTTGTGCTGTCGAGCAATCCCTTAATTGTTCCTCCCTTGGTTGTTCCCCACCCCATCCTCCTTCCACCTCCCCCAGTTCCCTTTGAGCCCCTGTCCCCCCCAAAATTGAGTAGACACAAAGTCAGACAGAGACAGAATCCTCTTTCATTGGCTATGTATCTTTTGTCCTGGACCAGTGTTAAACTGAGTCTTCACAGAAAGAAACTCTGATGGGAAAATGGAGTCTGGGGAGTCTGCTTAGAGTGTGAAATTTGGGAGCCCTATTAAGAAATATTCCATCTTTAAAGCATGAAAGTGTTAGTCATTCAGTCGTGTCCAACTCTTTGAGACTCCATGGACTGTAGCCCGCCAGTCTCCTCTGTCCGTGGGATTCTCCAGGCAAGAATACTGGAGTGGGTTGCTGTTTCCTGTTCCACAGTATCTTCCCAACCCAAGGATCAAACCCGGGGCTCCTGCATTGCAGGCAGATTCTTTACCATCCACGCCACCAGGGAAGCCCCTTTAAAGAGTGGGAGCATTTTAATTCAGGGCCCAAGGATACTGCTTTTGACATCAGACCGTGAGTCTTGCCTCTTGGAGGAAAGATGCCGTGTGAGTGAGGGGCTGAGACGTGTGCATTCCAGCAGTCAGCTCCAGCTGGCAGCCTCCCCATTCTGGTAGAGGCTACTGAAGCTCCCTCAGAGGAACTGAACCCCTCTTGCTCTGTCCCGGTTTGAACCCTCCCCCTTCTAGGTCTCTCCCCCCACCCCGCCACCCTCTGTAATGTGTATCTCTATCAGAGTGGGTATAGATGAGCATCACCACCTCTCAATTTTCCACGGCTGATTACCCACTTTGTGGATTATCTAAAGTCAATTTTGGCTTCCAGACTAGCATTGCTGCACCTGACCGCCCTTCCCACCCCACCTGAGTGGGGGAGAGTCAGAGGGGAAGCCCACTCATTTGTGATCTGGCCTCAGAAAGATGTTTCTCAAGGTGACAAACCAAACCACTGTCGATGTTGGAGGCTATCCACATACTGCATGAGTCCCTTCAAACGAAGGGTCTAGAAAGGGTGAATCTATAGAGACAGAAAGCAGAGTGAAGGCTGCAGGGGCTGGAGAAAGACAGGAATGGGGTAGAACTGTTACCTGAAAACTGGGTTCACCTCTTGGTGGATGTTGAACCAAAAGACAAAATGAAGCCAAAGGTTGGCAGAAGAAAGGATTTCTTTTTACTAGCAGCAGGTAAGGAGGCTACAGGGGATATTTCCCAAAGCATTGTCTCCCCAAATGGCAAAATTGGGGAATTTTTAAGCTAAGCATGAGTGATTGTTCATGAAGTGGCTTGAGCAGAGAATTCACTGGGCGACGGTGGCCAGAGTCCAAGTTTTAGTTGGTTAAAGTCAGGAGGATCAACACCATCCTTTCATCCTCCACCTAGGTAGGGGTCTTAGTTCCTACAGAACTTTAAGACTATATCAGATTATGCTATATGGATGAATTCTTGAGGAGGAATTAGGACTCTGTTTTATCTCCAACTTATTATTTTGTTTTGTTTTATTGAAGTGCAACTGTGCCGAAGAATTAATGCTCTCTAATTGTGGTGCCAAAGAAGACTCTTGGAAATTCCTTGGAATGCGAGGAGATCAAGGAATCAGTCCTAAAGGAAATCAACCCTGAACATTCACTGGAAGGACTCATGTTGAAGCTGAAGCTCCAATACTTTGGCCACCTGATGTGAAGAGCCTCAGGAAAAAAAAACTTTCATTGGAAAAGACCCTGGTGGTGGGAAAGATTGAAGGCAAAAGGAGAAGGGGGCAGCAGAGGATGAGATGGTTGGGTAGCATCACTGACTCAATAGACATGAATATGAGCGAACTTGGAAAATAGTGGCGGACAGAGGAGCAGCCCCTGGGCTTGCAATGCGTGGGACATAGCTTAATGACTGAAAAACAAGTAGTTGCTTTACAAGATTGTATTAGTTTCTGTGATACAACAAAATGAATCAGCTGTGTGTATACGTGTGTCTTCTCTCTTTGGGGCCTCCCTCCCACTCCACCCACCCCGCCCATCTGGTTTCTTGACTGCTTTTCCTTTGTTCCTGCATTCTGTTACTTTCCCTAAGATCACTGATAACTAAGACTGGTTGAAGGGCAAGTATAGTGGCCAAACTTAGATCACAAAACGGCTTAGACCAAAAAGGCTTCTCTTATGATGTCAAGAAAGCCATGTCTGGTTCTCTTGCTCCAGGGACACCCTGCCCCATCTGCTTTACATAAGTGTGTGTTGTGGAGGTTCCTTTAGAGGTGATAAAGACGTTTAGGAACTAGATAGTGGTGATGGTCGCACAGCATTGCAAGTGTACCGAATGCCACTGAAACGTATTTAAAATAGCTTAAGTGGGAACTTTTAGATAATGCATGTTTTACCACAGTAAAAATAAAAAAAAAAAAAATAGCCACTCACCCAAGAGGGGAGGAGTGATATTGACTTTATAAACAGTTACTGCACATAATTCAAAATGGGCACTTGAGAAGGATTAGAAATCATGACTTTTTTTTTTTAATGCCCATAATGGAGCCTGGGGACAAACCCAAACCAATAATAATAAAATAGTAAGGCCTAACAGCTGTGGGGATAAAGTCATCTCTTTGGCTCACATGTGGATGATCGAGAGTTAACTCTTAATAAAATAATAAAACGCGAGAGCAGCGGGAATAAAGATTACCTCCTTAGCCAACTGTCAGAGACCATCTTCATAAAATAATGACCCTCTTTTTTATTTCCCTCATTTTATTGTACAAGATGTAATTGTAGCCAGGCTGTTCCCCAACTTCCAGGGGAAGGTAATTGTCAATCAAGATGAAAAATGTCATCATTTAAGTCCGTCCCGGCCTGACAGGAAGGTCCATATGGTCTATGAGGGAGGCCCGTGGAGTGGTGATTTATGCCACCACCAGCAGGGCAGCTTTCTCCGAGACAGTCATGGCCCGCGAGGCCAGGACAGTCACCTCCAGAAGCTCGGGCCACCAGGTCATGTTCCCCACTCAGCTGCAGACTGAATAGATGACATGCCCCACCATGGGAGTCCTTGGTGAGGCCCCCGAGATGGGAGAAAGGGGCAGGATCTCCACCCAGAAAACACAGGTGGAGAGATGGTGCTCAAATAAAACAGTTGGTTTCCGTTGTCCTCCGCTGAAAGTTTTTATCTAGAGAGCAAATGCCCGAACCTGGGAGTCTGGGCATCATTGTGTTGGGTTTTACTGTTGTTGCCTTGTTGCTTTTTTCCTTTTTTTGGCTTAAGTTTGGAAGTGTTATTTGTTTCCTTTGCAAGGATGCATACCAGAGCTAAATTTTCGGGCATCCGTATGCTGTTGCTTGAACGTGCACCCAGCCAGGGACACTCCTGGTCCAGAGAGCCTGGTCCCTGCCTCAGCCTCCTATAGCTTAAACCAAGGCTCTATGGGCTAAGCCCTGTCCCCCCACCCTTGACTCCAGCCAGGAAGCTGGAGATCAAGTTGTCAGACCCCCACAACCCAAGAATCAGAGGAGCCTGGGGTTAGTAGATCCGTGAAGCAGGACCATGCCTGGTCTGTCTGATGTCCAGCCTCGCTGATGAAGCGTCCCCCAAGACTCCCCCCAGGTAACACAAACCTGGAAGCCCTGCAATGGGGCTGCTGCTGCTCTGGATAAACAGACCCAATCGTGGCTCCTCCTCCTTTTGAGCCTGCCGTCACCTCCGAGGTTGTGTTCTTTTTTTTTAAATAAACACCATCTGAATAGCAACACAATCACACAGTGAAGGCGTCTGCCTGTCAAACCCCACCCCTCTAGTGTCCACTTGCCCAGGGAGGCCAGCAGAGTTTCTCCCAGGGCATCAGGAGCCTGGGGAGGCTCCAGGAATTTCTGAGGACAACAGCAGGAGATGGCAGAGCGCATGCCCACCACCCACACTGCACGCACACACACGCTCTTGCACGCGCATGCACACTCACTCATGTGCTCTCCCTACTCTTAAAAATCACCCACACACCTCACTGGCATCCAGTCCCATTAACTGATTGCTTCTCCCTGTCGTCGTAATAGACTGTTCAGCAAATCTCCTTTTGTTTCTGCTTCTCATTTTGAGAGGGGTCCATTTTGATGAATATTAATGCTCCGTCTGAACCTCTTTCTTAACCATTTTAAAGGGCAATTTCTCTCTTCGGCAGAGGCATTGATCAATTGACACAAAGCAAGGGGTGGGGATCAATACAGAGAGCAGGAGTGGGGAGCATGTTCTGGAGTCTTTGGATGGCCAAGATTTGACATCTCTTTCTTCCCCCAAAACTCCTCCTTCTGCTGCCCAGACCAAGCTTCAAACAGTAGGGCTGGAGGGGCTTCTAGAACATGCAGGGCTCTGCGCCTGAAGCCGACCAAATTACCTCTGAAACAATGTGATAATCAGCTGAGCAAGGGACGGCCGCCTCGGGGCACCATCCTGCTAATCCTGCTTGGCAGTCTCCTCCCCTCTCCTTGAGAGGCTCCAGGCCCCCTGCTCTGGGTGGCAGCCTCCTCCCTCAAGAAGCCAGGCTCCTGGCTGGCCAGCTCGCCTGGGCCAGGGCACCAGCCCAGGGTGGGCAGCAGGACGGACCCTGACAGTCCCCGCCAGCTTGTCCTCCCCCTCCCCTCTCCTCCCTCCTCTCCTTCCCTCCACCCCACCCCGTCTTTCCTCTCCCCAGATCTGCTGTAACTGACATTTTCCATCTGACAGGTTCTGTTTTCCCTGCCTCCGGTTGCCAGGGAAACAAGCAGAGAGGACTGCAGACAGGGAGCCGTGAGCTGCCTTTTTTAAGGGGCCCTGGACATAAACAGCACTTTCCATAATGGGCACCCGGCACAGAGGTCTAAAAAAAAAAGAAAGAAAGAAACAGCACAGAAGAGGCTAAAGTGGGAGAGGAAAAAAGTCAAGTTTTAATCCGCTCCCTGATGTGCTGAAATACCAGACACCTGGTCCCCAGACCTCCGTGGGCCTCACCTCCTACGGGGCAAAACCGGGAATCTCTGTGGGCAAGATTCAGCACCACGACCTGAGACTCAGGCTCCACTGAGCTGCAAGGGGGATGTTAAGAGTGAAACCACCTTGGGGCTGAAAAGAAGCTCTTCAAGAAGCGACGGGGACCATGTCGCTCACCTCCTCGTGTGCGGGTCTGTAAGCCCACCTGTCACCTTTGGATTCTACCTCTGCAGTGTTTCTGACCCATTCCCCATCTTCACCACTCCTGCCCAACGTGGGCTTCTACCATTTTCCATGAGCCTATAGACTTACCTCCTAGGCAGTCCCCAACCCCTCCACCTCCCCTACAATCTTCCCACCCAGTGATGTTCCCCTGCACAGACCTGTTCCCCTGTGGAGCCCTCAGTGATTCCAACTTGAGCGCATTTGCTGCCAAATCCTTAGCCTGGCACCCAACACCCTTCACCATCTGACCTTGACTAGCTTTCCCGCTCTTTCTCCCATCTACATCCTGCACCCTGACTGGGTCACATGGAGCCCCAAGCCCCATGGGCTCTTTCCTACCTTCATTTCTTCACCCTGGAAGCCTCTGCCTTCTTACCCCCACCCTGCTACCTGCAACCCAGTTAAAATGTCAACTCCAAGCGGAACCCCCACTGCCCTTCCTGGCCACATGGGTCCCCCTTCTCCATTTTACTCTCAACCCCTCTGTTGAGCACCCCTCCTGGGATTTGGTTACAGGTCCTTTGCCCTCCCAGGTCTGAGGATTCTGAGGGCTCAGAAACAGCCTACACCTGGCACAGTCCATTGCATACAGCAGGTGCTCAATAAATGTTACTTCTTTGTCCTCCTGGTAGACCCATCAAGGAAAAAGGCAGATCTCCTTGTGATAGAGAGGACCCAGCAGTGGCATCTCAAACACACCTGCAGGGCAGGTTCACCTGATCACAGGCAGGACCACATCCCTGCCTGATAGAAAGAACCATCCAGTTTAGAGGAAAAACCTCTTTTAAATAGATTCATTTGAAAATCTTCACGATGTAAGGTTGGAAAAATTTTAAAAGGTTAAAAATAGATCCAGCTTTCTTCAATAGTAACAACTCAAAGGGAGAAATAAAGTATTGTTCATCATCCCACAGCCCAGATAACCTTTTCAATATTTTTTAAAAGTAATAGAGAACCACATTGTTATTGTTGCTCAGTCGCTAAGTCATGTCCGACTCTTTGCGATCCCATGGACTGCAGCACGCCAGGCTTCCCCGTCCTTCACCATCTCCCAGAGTTTGCTTAAAGTCATGTCCATTGAGTCAGTGATGCCATCCAGCCATCTCATCCTCTGTCACCCCCTTCTCCTCCTGCCCTCAATCTTTCCCAGGATCAGGGTCTCTTCCGATGAATCAGCTCTTCGCATCAGGTGGCCAAAGTATTGGAGCTTCAGCTTCAGCATAGAGAACCACACGGTTCCTGTATAAGGCTAATTCATAGCACAGGTCTCCCGAAGTCCAGGAAACGAACTGGAATTGTTTGGGAAGCACCACAGAGGAGGGTAAGTGAGCTGGACTACAGCTCGAGAGGGGACATCAGACACGGGGCAGCCGAGGTCCTAGCCAGGGGGTGGGGAAGAAGGGGGTACAAGGGAGGAGAGGGGACAGCCCAGGGCGACTGACCTGGCAGGTCTGAGAGCTAAGGATTCAGGGTCTGCGAGGTGCAAGTTGACAAATACACAGCAGTATTTGAGAAAATCTAATTGGATCAGATTGGGCTTCCCAGATGGCTCAGAGGTAAAGAATCCACCTGCCAACGCAGGAGATGCAGGAGATCCCTGGGTTGGGAAGATCCCCCAGAGGAGGAAAAGGTAACCCACTCCAGTATTCTTGCCTGGAAAAAGTCCCATGGACAGAGAAACCTAGTGGTCTATAATCCACAGGGTGCAAAGAGTCAGCCACAACTGAGCGACTAAGCATGAAGCACACACGAGTTTGATCAGATCAGAGAATACTGAAATCACGCAGCAAGGGGACCATAAGATGTTGTGTGTGGGACTTCCCTGGTGGTCCAGGGGTTAAGAACTCACCTTCTAATGCAGGGGAGGAAGGTTCGATCCCTGGTCAGGGAACTAAGATCCCACATGCCACCGGGTGACTAAGCTCGCACACCGCAATGAAGGCCTGATGCAGCCAAATAAATACTAAAAAAAAAAAAAAAAGATGTGTGTAATGCAGGTTAAGAGGGGGAAGCGGGGAGGCCTAGGTGGAAACTAGGACTCATGGGTGATTGAGACTCTTTCAGAAACGCAGTTGATGTTGTCGTGCTATTTTTATGCTTATAAAAATAAAAAATAAAACTGAGGGCAATCTCAATAGAACCATTGTGAGATCAGCCTGCAAGACACTGAGAGGCCTGAACGGGGTGAGGGACTCGGGTGCCGACATGCATATGCTAGTCGGACAGAGAGGGGGGACTTTGCAAAAAATGGACCACCAGGTCGAGGCAACTGGGTAGACGCCAGGGGAGGTGGAGCTGGAACCAGTGGGTTGGATGTGGCCTTCAGTGACCAGCTTCCTCATCCCTGGTGATTCAGATCATGCCTGCCAAGTGATAGGTAGTTGGCAGCTTCTCCTGCAATGCCTAACACTGCTGAATAACAGAGTGAATGAGTTTTGAACTGGTGCTTTGGGAGTGATGGGGAGAGCCTCTCCAGGTGGTCTACTCCCCGGGCAAAGGCTGGCTGCCAGGGGCTGGTTCCCAGAGCATCCTCCTGGCTCAGATGCTGTTGACGTCCGCAGTGGGGCATCTCCGCACAAGGCTTGCTCCCCTTTGGGGCGTGCTGGGGGCTCAGGGGTGTTCTGTGGGCCTCCCAAGAGCACAAGGCGACCAGAGGGAGGGTGAAGCAGCTCTGAGCTAAAGCAAGGGCTGTAAGGAGCCACCGCTCTATGGGATCCAACCCTCGGAAATCTCTCCTGTATTTTTTTCCAGGACCAAAGGGAGCCGGTGTGATAAATGACAAGTCTGTCTCAGGAAGCTCAGGCCCAAACAGCATCCAGGTGGCCACATCCCAGGGGGATGAGAATTATCATACACCTCATTTGCATCACAGTTTTTAATTTACCAAAGTGCGTTCCCATCTTAATTTCTTCTTCCCTACAATCCTGTAAGTACCAGAGACATAGACTTAACCTTCCTTTATGTGTGTAAAGCTCAATCACTTCATTATGTAGATTGTTAAGTGATTGTGAAGGAAAATTGAGGCCCAAGAATGTTAGAAAAACCGTCCAAGGGGCCAGAGTCCAAGCAGACACTGAAAGGGTGGTTTGTATCTTCTAGGTCAGGGCATTTCTTAGACAATACTGCCTCCTGGGAGAGGTGCTTAATAGACAACAGCTAATGTGATGACGATGATGACAATGATGGTGTGTATCAGATTCATGTTTTATAAGTTTGCAATAAATGATGAGAGTTTCCCAGATTACTCAGCGGGTAAAGAGTCTGCCTGCAATTCAGGAGACATAGAAGACCCAGGTTTGATCCCTGGTTTGGGAAGATCCCCTGGAAGAGAGCATGGAAACCCACTCCAATATTCTTGCCTGGAGAATCCCATGGACAGAGGAGCCTGCTGGGCTATAGTCCATGCGATCAGAGAGTCAGAACTGACTGAGTGACTAAGCATGCAATATATGTTAGAATCAACATTAATGATGAAACTAGAGAGGGGATCATGGACCAGACTGAAGAGGATCTTGGATACCAAGGTCAAGAGTTTCAACTTTTCCCAGAAGAATTGAGGAACCAGGCTGTTTCCAGCAAGGAGTGTGTTGGTGTTCCCCCCTTCAACTCCCAGCACCCCCCCCCAAAAAAGATACATCCATGTCCTAATCCCAGGGAATCTATGAAGGTGACCTTATTCAGATAAAGGGTTTTGGCAGATGTGATTAACTTGAAATCTTGTTTTGTTTTGTTTTGTTTTGTTTTTTTCTGGTGGGACCTAAATGCAATCACAGGTGTCCTATAAAAGGGGGGCTGAGAGAGATGAGAGAGACAGAAGATGAGGCCATGTGATGATGGAGACAGAAACTGGAGGGATGCAACCACAGGCCAGGGAATCAGAAACCAAAAAAAGCAAGAAAGATCATGCTCTCAAGCCCCTGAGAGAGAGAGCACAGCCCAGTCAATGCCAGACTCCAGGCCTCCAGAACCAACAGAGAATAAATCTCTGCTATTTATGCCCCCAAGCCTGTGCTAAGCTATCACAGCCACAGGAGATTGATATGCAGTGCCCCATGCCACACCCAGGGAGACAGGCTCCATTTAATTCTCCGTTCCCTTCACAGGCCGGTCGGGCGTGGCTTGTCAGCTAGGCTAGGACCGGAGAGCAGGCCCATGGGGGCGGTGCCCAGGTCCCTGCAGTTGGTGAGCACAGAGGCTCAGCCAGGGCCCAGGTGTCCTCCCCTATCGCCAGGTCTCCCTCGCCAAGCTCCAGAAGGCCCGGCACCCTAACTCAGGACTGTGCCCCCTACCTGCTCTTGCTCCTTAACACAGACCCCACTCCTGGGGATCTAAAGATATTTCCACCTGCTTTTTGAATCAGTTAAATAAAGACTTA